TTTTTTTTAATTTCTTGCAGGGATATACTCCTCAGTACTGTTCGGGCCCAGAAATTAGTGCAAATGCACCAGATAACAAAAAGGAAAACGCTTTCACTGTCTCACCTGAGAATGGAAGCTATGATGATACTGAAAGAAGTGGCAAGTTTTCTTGCATGTGATTTTCTGTTCTTCAGTTCTATGAACTTATATGGATGTGCTCTTGTAATTTTCCCGTTCAGATCACCCGAGGATCTAGTAAGAGAAGCTAATCAATCATTTTATTGAAGGCGTAAGAGAAAATTGATCAGAGTTGTTAAAAAATTAGTACATTCAATGGATGGATTGGCTGTTTGAAATTCTTCCAGTTGTTCAGATCCCTTGATTTAGAATGACGTCCCATTTTATTACAGTCGCTGCAATTGCAGGGGTGGAGTGTACGACTTACTAATTAAACTTTGGTGTAGTATATTATAGCATATGCCTTGGTTTTTGTTTCAAATATAACGGTGATGGTTTTAGTGTAATTCCGCAGTATGCGTATGCTGAATGCACTCCATTCTTTTGGAAAAGGTTCTCCATTCTTCACAAAAGAAATCAATTTCAAAACTATAATTGATTAGTTGTTGATCATTCAGCATATTCCTTCATTGATCAAATTGACAATGCATCCAGAAAAGAAAAGAACAGATCGTGTTACTTCTAGTCTTAACTTTACCTTTTGTAAATAATTCAGCTTTTAAACCAAGAGCATTGCCCATATGCACATTATAACGAGAAGGGAATGAATAGATACTCAACACAAGAGGCCAAAAAGAAAGTGGCAAAAATCTCATTATTACGAGCGAGAATATTTGAAATTGGAAGGTATCTGATAGAGTAGAGTAGGTTGTGCAAGTGTATTAGGGTGGGTAAAGGGGAATGTTTTTCAGGGTCAGTGCTGCACTCATTTATTTAGCATTGCAATTGATTGTGGAGTTGAACTAAGAAAAGGCATCATCCATTACAATGGAATGCTTCCTTCAGAGACACCAAGATTTGTGATTTGTGTCAAAAAGTTGAGAAAGGAGCACACAGCGCAGTTTGCCTTTGCCATTCTCCCCACTAAACAAGTGTGGTTGCTGTTTATTTGTTTATTTCTCCACTTGGATGAAAGAGATTTGACTAAGCGAAAGACAACTGCACATTTTTCGATCCCTTTTACTTCGGCATATAAAATGCAACCCCCAGGTTATCTGCAAGCAATAGCTCTCCAACATGAGTTCGTTTGCACATGGAAAGAGCAGCAGCACTACCATCCTCTTGCTTTTTATTTCTTTTTTCACACTTCTGAGTGATCTGTGTACATTACTCGTTCCTGTGGATGCCAAAAGCCACGTTAGTTCTCTACCCTCAACTTCCAATCACATTTTTTCTCCATTTTTTCTTAAATTGATTACTAATTTTTGTTGGGAGCTCAACAGGTGTACGTTGTTTATATGGGCAAAAGACCACATGACAATGAAGAGCTGTTGGTAAAGACCCATCATGGAGTTCTTGCCTCCGTCCTTGGGAGGTAGATCATGAACTTCAATATATGCATATTGCTCTATAGATTTGATGATTATATTTCAGAACAAATTCTGAAAGAACTAATGCTTCTCTACTTTGCAGCCAAGAAGCACCTGCAGATTCCATGGTGTATAACTATAAATATGGATTTTCGGGTTTTGCAGCAAAGCTTACAATGGCTCAAGCACAAAAGATCTCAGGTATTTTCTGTTGCTGATGCACTAAAATGTTCTTGTGCATAGTTTTCAACCATGAACTATTATCGTGTTACATACATTCAACATTATGGAGAAGTGAGAACTGAAACTAAAGTGGCTGATAACTTGGAAAAGTGTTGCTGCTCACCATATGACAAGCCCTCTGCCCTCTTGAGTCTTGATAGAGCCCATCAACTTTATTTTTTAAGACACATAAACTCCCTTCGACCAAGCATTTGTTTATCTCTAGTTAACGAGTAATGAGGGTGTATGTGTGGATTAATGACTTTGGAGTTCGGATTAATCACAAAAGGGGAGCGAGGGAGTCGAATGATATATAAAGATCTCGACTTCTACGAATGTTTGGTTTGGTAGTGCTTAATTTAAATGAAAGCACGCCATAATTAACAAGTACATTTCATTTTTTGGTTGTAGAGTTGCCTACTGTGATTAAAGTCATACCGAATCGTCTTCACAAAATGCAAACCACTAGGAGCTGGGACTACCTTCAACTCTCTCCACGACTTCAGAACTCTCTTCTACAGAAATCGAGAATGGGAAACGGGGCCATCATTGGCCTCCTTGATACAGGTTCAGATTTCTGTCCTTCCTCTACCTCAATCTTTGTCCTTGTATTGTCTGAGACTGAGGTCCCAAGCTAACTCTCGAATGTCACGAGCAGGGATCTGGCCAGAATCTGAAGTATTCAGTGACAATGGTCTAGGGCCCGTTCCCTCTAGGTGGAAGGGTATCTGTGAGTCAGGAGAGTTGTTCAGTCCAGGTAAGGCCTGTAGCAGAAAGCTAATTGGAGCCCGGTATTTCATCAAGGGGCTGGAAGCTGCATATGGACATCCATACAATAATAGTGGGTTCCAAGATTACTTGTCTCCGAGAGATTACGCAGGACATGGCACACACGTCTCTTCAGTTGCCAGTGGCTCCTTTGTAGCCAATGTTAGTTACCATGGCCTAGCTGTTGGAACAGTAAGAGGTGGCGCACCCCAGTCTCGGCTCGCTATGTATAAAGTCTGCTGGCAACTGAATGGAGGAGTATGCTCAGACGCAGACATTCTCAAGGCCATCGACCAAGCCATACACGATGGCGTAGATGTTCTCTCTCTGTCCCTTGGCCCTACCTTTCCTTCATATTCTGATGTCGACATGCACAATGGGGTTGCAATTGGAACATTTCATGCTATCGTGAAGGGGATAGTTGTCGTTGGTGCAGCAGGAAATTATGGTCCAGCTGCTTACTCTGTAGCAAATATAGAACCATGGTTGTTGACAGTCGCTGCAAGTTCTGTGGATCGTTCATTCTTAGTAGCGATTACATTGGGAAACAACTGGACTACCGTGGTAATTCTTATCGAACCTCATCATGCAAACAGCAATCAGTTAGTTCTAAGAGAGCTATTTGTATTGACCATTAACGCTGTAGGGACAAGGGATGTTCAGTGGAAAGTTGAGGAGGTTCCACAATTTAGTATATCCCGAGGTTTCTGATCTGGAGGATGAACGGTTAGTACAAGTATTATATTTTTAGTCGTTTGACATCTATCAGCTGGATGCTTCACTTTTTCAACTTGAAATTTTGTTAACAGCGCCTGCGAATCTCTATCCTTAAATGATACGTGGGCAGCCGGAAATGTGGTTCTCTGTTTCGCATCAGACGATTTTAATGACAATACACACCATACTTCTCGGTCTGTCAAAAAAGTTGGTGCGTTGGGGCTCATTGTTGCCAAGAACCCTACCAAGGACGTTGAACCATTCATAAACCACTTTCCATGCGTTCAAGTAAGCCTTGAGATTGGAATGCATATACTTAACTATATCCGCTCTACCAGGTATATTCCTCCTCCGCCCTCTATTTCATGCTCTGCCTTCAATGGCTATGGCCATGACACTGTTACTTGTTACTAACCCTACAGAAATCCTCAAGTCAACATCGGTCCTTCGAGGACACGAATCGGCCAATCATTGTCCACCACTGTGGCCTACTTTTCGTCTCGAGGACCTAATTCAGTTGCTCCAGCAATACTGAAGGTAACCGTTCAATTCCAGTCTTCTTCCTGGGAAATTCGTCCTTACCACGACTCTTTGCTGAATGAGTCTGCAATTAGTACAGCCCGATATTGCTGCTCCAGGCGTTGCTATTTTAGCTGCAGTTCCTCCCTCTGATCCAAAGGATAAAAACTCTTACGCTTTTATTTCTGGGACATCCATGGCAACTCCTCATGTATCAGCCATTGTTGCCCTTCTCAAATCTTTGCACTCGCATTGGTCCCCTGCTGCAATTAAGTCAGCTATCGTTACAACAGGTAGAATTTTACCACCAAAGTTATGATGTATTTAAGATATCAAGCATTTACATTATAAATTTATATCTATAACGTGCAGCCTGGACTTCGGATCCATATGGTGAAACAATATTCGCAGAGGGACGCCCAATCAAGTCTGCGGGTCCTTTTGATTTTGGAGGTGGAATTGTGAACCCCAATAAAGCAGTGGACCCTGGTCTTGTATATGACATGGGAATGGCAGACTATATTCGGTATTTCTGTGCCATGGGCTACAATGACTCTGCCATTTCAGGGATTACCAAGAAGCCCATATCTTGCCCCAAAAGACGGCCATCTATTCTTGACACAAACGTGCCATCCATAACAATACCTGGCCTCAAACACTCCGTGACTGTCACCAGAACTGTCACCAATGTGGGTGCAGTCAACTCCACATACAAGGCTGCCATTGAGACTCCACCCGGGCCCGGCATAGCCATAGCTGTAAAGCCTCGTATGCTAAAATTCAACCACAAGAGGAAGATCATCTCCTTCACCGTCACTGTCTCTTCTAATCATAGAGTCACAACCGGATACTGTTTTGGAAGCTTGACATGGCTTGATGGGGTTCATTCTGTTAGAATCCCAATATCCGTAAGAACTGACATTTGACATTGCACTCAAATGGGCAGATTTGTATGATCAATATCATTTAACTGATATTTGACGTTGCACTCAAATGGGCAGATTTGTATGATCAATATCATCTCGCATATGAATTTAAGTAAAAATGTGGAAAACTGAGGCAGCTGTCCTTTATGAAAGGAACAAAGATGTATCAAGTACCAACACTAGAATATAACCAAAACTGGCCACGATTAGAAAAGATTATAGCATATTTGCATGTTGGTAATCACTGCATGCTGAATCGTTCATTCATTACAACATTCTGCATCTCATTTTACTCAACACTTGATACTCATATTTCTTATTCCAAAATTGTCTCATCATCATGTTACCTCAAAACTATATCTATATACTCTCTGCAAGCTATGCCTTCAGATGCAACAGTGCCAGTAAAATTATGCCAAGTTTTAAGTGAATCTAGCAGTTGTAAGATATCTTCAACATGAAACTTTCTCTGTGAACTCCAATCATTCCGCCAAGGAAGGTTCTCTGGCTGGCTCAACTGTCACAGGCTCTAATTTCTCAGCTCTGCCATTTTCTTTTGGGATGATAAGTCCATATCCTCCATCCTTTCTTTTATATAAGATGTTAATCTCACCTGGGGCAAAGATGAAGACAATAAGCTCCCAGATATAAATAGCACAGATTCCCAACAAAAAAAAAGACTATTATGTTAATCAACATACCAGTTTCTTCGTTCCGGAAACCATAGAAATCATGGTCAATATTTTTGAGTTGTTCGATTGCTTCTTCAACAGTCAAAGGAGGCATATCAAAGTATTTTGTCCGAACGATCTGAAATCAAGTTAAAAATGAGTAAAAAACTCAATATTTAAACGAATAAATGCTCTAATAAACTAAAAAGGACAAAGATCAACAAGGCATGCAGAGGAGCTTCTTGCAACCAAAATTAAACGTCAACAAAATAAGCAAGTGAATCAAAAGCTGTAACGATCAAATACATTTGAATGGCCGCAAAACACCCATTAAGAGCAAAGGATCAGTAAAAACTTCAGAGGGATTCCCAGTTACTATGAAGAACCAACTCGTTGACTCTAAGCAGGTTGAAAGAATTAAGTAGAAAGGGAAGTCTAATGTAACGGGCCCCTGTAAACAATGAAGGCCTTCTATCCAACAGTAAAAAGTTAATCAATAACAGTTGAGCAGAATGTTAATTACTCAGCAAGAAATACAAGTAACAGGCACCTATAAACCATGGAGATATAACAGCTGTGTGATCCGACTTCCAATTCTTTGACTTTTACGTTCATCTCAAATATCATTCCGTGAAGAAAAAAGATCTGACTAATTACTCCTATGGTACAAATAAAAGTATGATAGGTTTGCATACAATGTCAGATAAAAAAGTTGATAGAACCCAAACTATATAGAAGGAACATAATAACTCTCAAGTAATTTGAGGTACTTGAACCCTCCCCTCTCTTGACTATTCTTACTCAAGTCTAAACCATATTGAACAATTTCCTACCTTCATCCCTTCCTCTCACTCAATTTACATTAAATTCCTACTAACCAATTTTTTTAACTAATTGCTAATGTACCCTTGCTATTCCATTAATATCTCTAATTATCCAAAAGCATTCCAATCAAAACGCACGTCATAGGGTGAAAACAAAATTGAGAATGCACTGCTTTCTGTTCTTCCCTCCACAGAGTAACTTATTGTATATGGATCAACTAACAGGCATTAATTCTGAGCATGCATCTAGTATTTCCCCCTGACTAATCACTGGAAAGAAGCAAGAAAAATAAACTCTAAACAAATGAACTTACTAATAACTCGGGGAGTATGCTGCAATTTAGCAATTCTGACACATATAATTGGCTTTTACATATCCAAAATAATTATGTTAAAAAATACTTTTGGTTTTACTTTATTTTTTTTTTAATTACTAGGAGTCGGAGCTTTGTTCTCCTATACCCCAAGATAGCCGCACCCACTCCAAGGCCGGAACCCGAGAGACATCAAGGATTTTTGGTATTAAGCTAACCAGAAGGTTCAAACTTGAGACCTCAGAGCCAGTATAACCAAGAGACCCCAATTATGACTAATTACTCCTTGTACTTTTATTGAAGTAATGAATTTAATCCCTAACTTTGAATTTGTAATGATTTAGTCCTATATTTTAAGATTGGTAATAATTTAGTCCCTATAGTTTAAAATTTATAACCTAGTCTCTTTAGCCGTGGAAAATATCATCAAAATTCAATATCAATTTTCATGATGTAATAATTTAGTCTTCGTAGTTTATAAATCATTTGATCCTTCGTCAATCTATTGATCTATATATATAAAAAAACCCCATTAAATTTTAACAACATTTTTCACGATAATGGCTAAATTGTTAGAAATTTAAAAGTATAAGGACTAAACTGTTACATACCAAAGTTCATGACTAAATTATTACAAATTAAAAAATACGGATAATAAATTGTTAAAACCCAATTTCAAGGACTAAATCATTACTTTAATGAAAATAGAGGGGCCAAAAATGTTTTTTAACCAAATAATTAATAGGCATGGAATACATGACCTTTTATAGGCAAATATCTACCTAAATGATCAAATTTTATGCAGCAAAATGAACTCAAAGTAAAAAAGCCCAAAGGTTCAAGAAATAACCTCATCAATAACTTCTCCACTATCTTCCAGAGAAACTTCCTCTTCCTCTTCCTCATCTTCAACAACTATTGGTGCAGGTTCTCTTACTTTCAATCTGTCAAATCCTTTCATGTGTCGGCCACGGTCTGAATCTTTCTCTTTAATCTTTCTCAACTTCCTTTGTATGATAGAAGATACCAAATCAATGCTCGCATAGACAGTCTCAGCATCTTCCTCTCCACGCACAACTCCATGCTTCTTCGTGAATAAAGTAACCTATACAAACAAAAACATGTTTAAAAAATAATGAGGATTCAATTCATATGGATAAATTTAAAATAAAGGAGCAATATAATACCTCGCATCTTCTAATCCTCGGACCCTTCCCAAACTCTCCACCTCGAACTGATAGCCTGACATCTACTTCTCTCACTAAGTGACTGTGCTTCTGAACTGCCTTGCCAACCTTCTCTTCCACATGCTTCTTAACTGCTTCAGTCAACTAGTTTTATGCACAATTTAAAAAACAAAAAGTCCACTCAAGGTTCAACACTTGAAACAACTCGATCAGAAAAATTGGGTAGCTGAAATCCTGAACGTTCCTAGAAAGAGGTGTTAGGATTTGTAGTTTGTAGGCGGCTTTATCATCATGAAGTAAATGAATTTCTATTATTAAGGTTAGTTTGTTTACAAGTGTCAGAAGGTAGTTCCTTTATATGCATGTAGTAGGTAGCTTAAGTAAACAACTCGATGAGAAAAATTGGGTAGCTGAAATTCTGAACATTTCTAGAAAGAGGTGCTAGGATTTGTAGTTTGTGGGTGGCCTTGTCATCCTGCAGTAAATGAATTTCTATTATTAAGGTTAGTTTGTTTACAAGTGTCAGAAGGTAGTTCCTTTATATGCACGTAGTAGGTAGCTTAAGTAAACAACTCGATGAGAAAAATTGGGTGGCTGAAATTCTGAACATTTCTAGAAAGATGTGTTAGGATTTGTAGTTTGTGGGTAGCCTTGTCATCCTGCAGTAAATGAATTTCTATTATTAAGGTTAGTTTGTTTACAAGTGTCAGAAGGTAGTTCCTTTATCTGCATGTAGTAGGTAGCTTAAGTATGATGACCACCAATCTAAACTTTGTTAGATGGGGTAAGTTGTCTTTCTCATCGTGCTTGTAAGAGTCTTTTTCTCTCACTTTATTCCGTTGAAGATCTTATTCCTAATATTTGGTGTCAAAGATCCATCATGGGGATTGGGGCCTGGTTAAATTTAGAAGCAGCCGTCTTTTAATGCCCGTCTTGTCTGTGGTACCGTGACAGAGATTTCGTTTGTGCAACCAGTAAAATTTGATGGGCACTGTGATCTTCATGAAAAACTCCTTACATTCAGAGGTGTACAGAGGCCTAGTGGAAACTAGGATAGCTACAGCAGAAGAAGATGTTCTCACATGGGCGTAAAGGAAGAACATTTACAGTTAGAAGCTAAAAAATTTGAAAGCCAAGAACTGTCTATCGCATTAGATTCTTCAATTTAGGAGACAATTCTCGACAAGGTTACAGCAAAGGTATTTGCCGCAAAGCGTTCTACTTTTTTTTTTAATCCATTTCTTTCTTTCAATGCTAGGAAGTTTGGGTGCTAATAGGATCCGAACAACTAACAATGTATTGAAATATAAAAGATAGAAGAACTACACTATAACCCAAGTATTAGAAGTACTTGGACCCTCCCCTTATAGAGGCTGATATCACTCAAGCCTAGACCACAGCATACCTTCATTCTTACACCCTCACTCCATTTATAACAACTCTACTTCCCTATCTAATTACTAAGGTACGTACCCTTAATACTCTAATCTTCTTCTTACAAAATTTATCATTCTTGTCATTATCTAATTTGGAGCAGTTATCTTTGTCCACATCTCCCTCAATACCCTAATAATATCCCTAATTACCCCAAAGGTCATTCCTACCAGAGACCTATTTCTTTAAACAATCCTTTTTTTTTCCTAATAAAAAATGGAGATGTATTAATCACAAGAGGAAGAAAGGGCAAAGGGTGGAGGTCACCCTCTCCCAGGCACACAGTAATAAGAGTCTTCCAATCACTTATAATCATAATGAGGCTATACTATAATTGCAAAAGAATTTCTTGTGGTTTATGCATCCCTCAAAGAAGTGTGACGTAAACTATCACAAAAAGAATTCACCAAGGTTGTTTTCCCTTCAAAGAGCCTACTATTCGTTTCTTTCCAAATCAACCACAAAAGGGCATGGGCCGCACAATTCCAAAGAATATAATCCTTTCCTCTAAGAATCATGCCTCCAAAATTTTTTGTTATCAAATCATTGATTTTGTGGTTGAGACAAATAGAAAATCCTATTTCCCGCAAGGACATAGGACCAAGCCTTCTGGGCCAAAGAGCAACGTAATAAGACATGATCCAACGGATCCTCATTCAAATTACACAAGCTGCAAATAGAAGGGGAAAGGGACCAATCGGACTAGTGCTAGAAAAAAGGCTTGATATTTTAATTCAAAATGAAAAGTGCAGGGTGTTTCCATCTGGAAAGAAGTTTAATAGCGGTGATGAAAATGTCCTTGAAAGGAATGTAAATGTTCATGCTCAAAGTTATATCTCAACCTATAATATCTATTTGTGAAAATATGGTGCAACTTTAGCATCGAAGATATGGATCGTTGAGCTTTAAGGGCTTAATGAATCTTCAACTTAGAAAGCTAGACCCTAGCTTACGTCTTCTTCAAAGTAATCCAGTGCTTACTTATTAGGCAACGAACAAAGGGAATCCTTGCCATTAAGGAGCAGCTAGAGAGCTTCGCATATCCTTCTACAAGTACACTCTAACATGTGGACATATCAAACCTGTTTCTATTAGTCCAGGTCCTATGTGCTGATTGAGGAGAGTTTATATTCATACCACAAGAGTTCACCAGATTTTGGGATGCAAAAACCATACAACTGATGGTTGCATAAACAGGATAGTAAAATGTAATTGCATAACATAACAATATAACCACCATGATAAATATTAGCATGCTTTAAAAATAAAAACCATTATGGATATTGGTATGCTTTAAAAAATGCCCAGAATTTTCTGAACCAGAAAATTGGGCCGTTTACAGTGGAAACCTAAAGCTCGACAGTGAAAAATAGATCTCCAGCTCGAAGTGTTGAGCCTTTGGTTGAGTACTTCACTGCGTCTCATGTTCGTGCACCGGGCAGTAAAAGAACTAAGCTGGATGATAAAAGCTTGAGTTGTGTTGCTTGGATTTAGTAATAAGCCAAAGGCTTATATATGGACTTTATGATCCAATTTTACAAGTGATTCCCAAAAGCAGATCTGTTGTATCTGAAGAAGATAACACTCACAATTGGAAGTCTGAAGAAGCCATTGTGTGTGATTTTGAATGGGATAATCATGAGGGGGAAATGGTTGTGTTTGATGAGAATGTAGAGGAGAGTGAATCTAGTTTAGATGCTGATGAGAAGAAAATGAATTTGCCCCGAATCTTTGACCAAAGAATTGTCTCCTAGATGCAACAAACGAAGATATAGAAGACTAGCAATTTGGATGAGATACTGAAATTTGAAAAAGATAGTGGTCTCGTAATGCCATTTTTACTATTGTTGATCCCGTTCACTTCAAAGAGGCTGCGAAGAGTTAAAAATGAAGAAGGGCCATGAATGTTGATACCGAAGCCATTGGAAGAAATGGCACTTGGAAATTAACAGATTTACCTGGAGGAAATAAAATAAAATTGAAATGGGTTCATAATACTAAATTAAATGGAAATGGAGAAGTCGACAAATACAAGGCTAAGCTTTTAGCAAAGGGATACGTTCAGTGGTGGCATATGGTGGGTTAGCACCTGTAGCTCATGGAGGATGGGCTATCTACCGGTTAGATGGTAATTTAAATTTTATATGCTGAGTTGAATCAAGATGCTTTTGTGGAGCACCCTAGTGATATTATTCATTATGATAGTAGCTCCCGAATCAAACTTCCGAAGAATCAGAGCTGATACAAAGGAATCTTAAACGTTTGGACGGACAAGAACAGTTGGCCGGCATGGTGACTAAGCCTTTGAAGTCGGATGTTTTCTTGAAGCTGCGAAGGGCCTGAGTGCTTGGAGCATTCAGTTCAAGGGAGGAATTATTAGGGTTTCTAATTAGTGGGTAGTTTATCACCATCCAGTGCAATCCAATAATTGGTAGCAGTGAGTTAGTGAGCATTTTCAGTCTGAATCACATTTAGGTTCTCATGAGGCTAAATATAACGAAGTTTATCCTTCAAACGTACGTGAGTAGCTCATTACTGCCCCACTTTTATTTCTCGCAAAATCTTACTCCTACTAAGAAGGAGCGCAAGACTGTAGATTCAGAAACTGATGAAGTAAAGAAGTGTTCAACAGCTAGGAGTGGAACAATTTAGGTCAGTAGAGTAGATGCGAAATGGTGAAAGTAAGAATTTGAAGAGAATATTGCATTATGTGAGAAGCAACAGTGAAGAGGAAGTAGAAATACCTCCAAATTCTTGCCTTGGACAATTAATTTAACAGAGGAGAGGGGGCCATCCCAGGACATGCGAATAGTGAAAGAGTTTGCGGCATGGCGGTTCCGGGGAGCAATCTGAATGGTTGTGAAGCAGTTGCAGGAGTTGAAGAAAGGTGAAGTATGGGAAGAAAGAGGGTGGATTTTGAGGGCAGAGGAGTTGGTAGAAGTGAGAAGAGAGAATGAAGCGGGGAAAGTGGAAAAGGTAGAAGAAGAAGAAGGAGCGGAAAGGAGATTAGTGTGCATGGAAGAGGTGAGAGTAGCCATTGTTTGAAAACTTGGAAATCGAAGAAAGAAAGTGATGGGATTTTGGCTTTGAAAACAAATGGATAAAAGATTAAATAGAGTTTTTGTGGACGCCACTCCACCATTTCTTTTTCCTTCCCATATCCTTATTAAACTAATTATGCTCCAACTTTGCATTGCAACGTTATTATATCTTTTACTTTCCTATGTTCGGCCTCTTATTGTTTTTTTTACAAGACACAAAATCTAAAGGTAATCAACTTTAATTAGCTTCTAAAAGTTTAATCCAATTCCAGGCAGCTTAGAAAATCTTAATAATTAGTAAGATAACTCTTTTAAAACAACTCCCTTTTTTTTTTGGACAAATAAGCTATATCAAAGCTATAAAACTAAAATTATTTAAAAACAAAACAAAAGAAAAAAGATCTGGTGTTTTGCAGCGTTATCCGAAATCTGTGAGAAAGAGGAGCCCATAGAGTGACAAATACGAATGCTCCAAAAATTGAGCTTATGGACCACTTGGATGGATATTGTAAAGGATTTTTTACCCTACACTGAAGTGCTAAAATGTGCAGTGAATGCATTCTATGTCTACTTCATAATGTAAATGATTTTTTGCATTATTATTATAGTTATGACAAACAAAACACGGATGAATGATGAATTTGTTTGTAAGCCATTGAATCTGAATGGCTACACTATTGCATTGTAACTTTAGCCAGTCCATCCAGCTCAAATCAAAAGCCGAGATTGAGATTATACGCCATAGCTCAAAGGAATTGCAGGTGCAGCAGCAGATGCCTTGTCATGTAATTATTTTGGTGAATAAATGTTATTCGACCTTTGCAACTAATAGCACAACGTGGTTGTCCAAACTAAAATCAATCTTCAAACTGAAACAGCTCCCATCATCAGAAAATCTAATAATCTGACTCTTATGAACCCTTGTTGCAATCTGATGCATATATTTCCATGGTCACCAACTGAGTTGAGGGGTTACATTATTACTCAAAAAGAACAAGGTTCCTACTGCAACATGTTAGGCAAATAAAATAAACAAATCAAATTAAGGAGCAGTACCAACTTTGAAGTCACGTCGCAAAATCCATTTGGCTAGGAGAGGAAAAATGTTTGGGCATAACAAGTTCGACTGATACTTTACAGAATTCAAGCTAGGCAACTAAAAGATTTGTCTGTTAGCAAGAACAAGAAGAAGCATCATCATTTATACTAGTAGAGTAACAGTAACATATTAGCAGTATAAGAAACTAAACTTGTAGCAAGAAAGATATCCGACTTGTGGAACAGGAGAAAAAAAAAAGGAAGGATATTACATACAGTAGATACATAATTAATAGCTACAGGTTCTCACACCTCAAACTTTAAGAAGCTGCATTTTGTTGGAAAAGGCTATAGAAATCCAATCGGGGTGCGCGGCAGACCACTGCAGCTGGTTAATTTCGTGTGGAGCAGAATACATGGACATCGGATCAATGCCATTTGGGCCTGCTACCATAGGCAACTCCCAAATGAGCGCCTGCCGGTCATCCCCTGCGGAACAAATATGCCTGCAACTCCTAGGAGCCCAGGCAATTGCATTTACGCTGGATTGATGCCTCTCTAGCTCAGCAACCGGCACACTGGGGGACCGAATGTCCAGAATAACAACCTTGTTGCTATCCATCAGTATTGTGGCCATGTACCGCAGGTCCTGCTTGTTCCAAGCCAGTCTAAGCAGAGGAGTATCCGGCTGCGGGCTTTCGTATATGATGGTGGAGTGCTCTTTATCTCTCAAGTCGAAGATCCTCACCGAGCCGTCAGCAGAAACGGAAGCAAATACCC